CTTTAAACGTCTGGTAGAACTCCCCTGGGAAGCCATCTGGTCCTGGACTCTTATTTGTTGGGAGATTTTTGATAACCGATTCAATTTCTTCGCTGGTGATGGGTCTGTTCAAGCTTTCTATTTCCTCCTGATTGAGTTTTGGAAGAGTGTGGGTGCTCAGGAATTTGTCCATTTCTTCCAGGTTGTCCAATTTGTTGGCATATAATTTTTCATAGTATTCCCTGATAATTGTTTGTATCTCTGAGGGATTGGTTGTAATAATTCCATTTTCATTCATGATTTTATCTATTTGGGTCATCTCCCTTTTCTTTTTGAGAAGCCTGGCTAGAGGTTTGTCAATTTTGTTTATTTTTTCAAAAAACCAACTCTTGGTTTCGTTGATCTGCTCTACAGTTTTTTTAGATTCTATATTGTTTATTTCTGCTCTGATCTTTATTATTTCTCTTCTTCTGCTGGGTTTAGGCTGCCTTTGCTGTTCTGCTTCTATTTCCTTTAGGTGTGCTGTTAGATTTTGTATTTGGGATTTTTCTTGTTTCTTGAGATAGGCCTGGATTGCAATGTATTTTCCTCTCAGGACTGCCTTCGCTGCGTCCCAAAGCATTTGGATTGTTGTATTTTCATTTTTGTTTTTTTCCATATATTTTTTAATTTCTTCTCTAATTGCCTGGTTGACCCACTCATTCGTTAGTAGGGTGTTCTTTAACCTCCTCATGCCATTTCTATGCAGACAGTGCCTCTTCCCACCCCTGTCCCTAGCAACCACTGTTTTGTTTTCAGAGCTAGGATTTTCAAAACCCAGGTCTGTCCATTTCCCTAGATCTACTTGCTCTCTAGAAAGGGTCAGTGAGGAGCCAGAGTTAAATTCAACTGAATGGTTTTCTCCCTGATCTCATTTAATGACCAGTTCTTGGTAGTGAAGGGGCAATATTTATAACTAGTTACTCTGAGCCCATTGAGTCTATTGAAAGGCCAGTATTTAATCTTCCCCAAAGTGCACATGTGTTTTCCCTTTAATTCGTTTATCCCGAACAGAACCAAACTTTCTAGACTTTACTGTAAAAACTCCTGATACCCCAGTACACTTTATTCAGTATGCTTTATACTTTGTTAGCAGAGAGATTGGCAGCTCTCAGAAATAGGGACAGTGGGTCTCAAAATGTGATCTTTGATCCAGAAATATCCATATTTCCTGGGAACTTGTTAGAGATTCAGATCCTCAGGCCCCACCCCAGACCTGCTGAATGACAACCTCTGGGGGTGGCACCCAGCAGTGTGTGTATTCACAAGTCCTCCAGGTGTTTCGATGGAAGCTCAAGTCTGAGGACCACTGATTTAAAGAATAACTGTAGTTCTTTAGTCCTTGGTCCTCAGCTGCAACAGGCTCCCTCCCCTGGGTCACTGATAGGCTTTGTTAGTCAACTGAGGAAAGACCAGATGAGAGGAACCAAGCTGGGCAGAAGGTGAATGATGGTTTGTGGGAGCTCTGAGATGGCTCCAAAGGCACCAGAAAAAGTCCCTGAGTATAGCTGACTGAGAGAGAAAAAACAATATCTGACTTTGGGGCCTTGAGCCCATGTTTTTCTCTGAACTCTCACCACAGATCCTGGGCCTCATCATCGTTCGAAGGCTTCTGGACCTCATCTTCTCCCAGCATGATTTGGCCTGGATTGACAATATCCTCCCAGAGAAAGAGAAGAAGGAGACGGATAAGAAGAAGAAGAGAAGGAAAGGGGTCCCTGAGGACAGTGATGAGGAGGTGGGGAGGACGTGAGGCCAGGGTCAAGGGAAAAGATCAAGAAACCCTCCCTCCATTTCTGGCAGGGTCAAGGAGGAGGTAGCTTCTTAAGTGGTCAGCTGTGATCACCTGGGCCTAATCCAGGATGAGCTGAGGCTTCTCCTCATACTGGTGTGGGGTGCTGAGAGCTTGTTTGCTTATGTGAATATTCTCAGGGAGGGCCACTGTGAATGAACCACCCCCCCCCAATCCAGGGAAAGGCTGGTTGCCACGCCCACTCTTTCCCATTTCTGTGAGTTTCTGGGGCCATTATCAATAGCAGTGCAGGTCCTTGATGGAACAGGGCAGAAGACTCAGCTCCATCATGGAGATTATGAGGACTGATCTCCAAAGAATAGAGCAGACCTCAGGGGAGAAGTCGGATGGGTACCCACATCAGTAGACTAGACTCCTGGACAGTTGTAAGTACTGGGGGACAAGGTTTGCTTGGCCTGCCCTTGGGGTATTAGGGAAGAAGGTGGGGGGGAGAGGCTATGTCCTCACTGAAAGGAGAGTGGCTACATTCCTCAGATGCTGGGGACCACCTGGTTGCCCCATCTACCCTTCTTCTCTCATGCTTCCTTCCCATCCCACCCCCAAAACACCCAGGGAGTCAAGAGACAGGAAGCCAGTCCAGAGCTTACAGTAAATCACAAAATGTTACCCAGGAAGATTATCTAGTTCAAGTGCTTATTACAGATGATGAAATGGTCCCCCAAAAGGGAAGTAGTTTACCCAAGATGGACATATGGCTAAATGTCTAAAAGGGAATTAAGAAAACTGTTCCTGACTTTGAATTTGATCATTTCCAATATGCTAAGCTACCCATGCCATCTCCTAACACCATGCCTGTCCTTGCATTCTCCCGGTTTGACCTGAACCCACATTTCTGCATCTATCTTGAACTGTTCTAGTGATTTTGCCTTTTGCAGATCAGAGCTGTTCACAGATCCTTGATTAGTGGCAATCAAACCCTCTTCTGATGGTAGTGATAGACCCAAACTCCCCTTGTCCTAAATTACTTTCCTCTTCAAGAGGCCCATCATTCATTCACATGTTTTTCATTGGTAATTTAGTTGGTTTGCAAAGATAGGCTTGAGAACAAAGAAACGGAGAATCTAAGTGCCTTTTAAAGACAAATACTTATTCTTTCATTGATTCATTCAATAAATATTTGAGTGGCTACCACGTGCCAGGAACTTCTGCAGGGTTGGGGAAAAGCATGAAAAATTCAATGGAAAAATGGGATTCGATTTACATAAATTCATTTTACACGTGTCTTTACAGCAACACCAGCCATTGTGTGAGATTCACTCCCAAGAGATTGGTTACTCTAACAGTTGAAACTGTTCTGATCAATAACGTTCCTGGAAGGGTTCTGTCTTGTCTAGGACAGCAGGCTAACTATGATTGCCCCTCAGCGGGCCCCAGGGTATTTGTAGCACCTCCTAAGTGTTTAGATGTAAAGAGGATGGTGGTTGGCACACATTGTGGTGCATGTATTTTCCATCTTGGCAAGAAAGCCAAAGCTGTTGTATTGCTGGTGTTTATCAGCTTTTCCCACTGTTTCTCTCCAGCCCCAGTTCCCTCCTCCCTCAGTTATAAAGATTCCCATGGAAAGTGTCCAGTCAGATCCCCAAAATGGTATCCACTGCATTGCCAGTAAGTAAAACACATGGTGTCTCTCCCTTCCTACTTACTACTAATCCTCCAGCTCTTCCTCCAAGGAACTTTCATCTTTAATTCAGGGGGATCTAATAGTCTTAGAAGCTAGAGGACTCCTGTGGTAGGCAGAGTTCAATGAGAACTGGGTCACAAGGACTGAGACTTCAACCAAATAGAAACCCAGAATCAAACCCTGCAGACGCCAGTGATCAATCTTCACTTCCATTTGGGCAAAGTCCTTCATTCCTTCCTTTCCCCTGGTGCCTCCTGATGTCTATGGCACTACCTGGCCCTCTCTTGAATCATTTCAGACCACATTTACCCAATCCTGAATCCCTGAGCCTCCCATGTTTTCCAGTGGTTATTGAAAATGATTGGGAGTTCAAATCCCAGCTGAGTTGTCTCCTTTAGAGAAATAGTATAGCATTGGGATCACAAATTTTTGTCAGAAGGGGAGGTTTCAGTGGTTGGGCTGTGCTTCCATATGAATCACAGGTACCTTCCTCCTGCTGAAATGGAGGCTGTCTGGGAGAGATGGGGCTTTGCTTACGAAGATCCTGGGGGATCTGTGGCTGCCTTTACCCCCTCCCAGCGTCAGCGCCCTCCCAGTGCACACTTCTGTCAAGACAACATAGCCTTGTCTGAGAGTAATCAGAAAGATTCCACTTGAGTCCTGACCCCAGTGCTCCTAATATAGGACTTGCCACTTTTCTACAGGACCCAGATTAGAATCCTGCCAGGGCCCTTGAAGGGCTTCCCATCACTCTCTGTCAGAGGTACCTTTCCTTTTTTGTTTCTAATTTTCCTTCCTCCTTGCCATTTGTATATTTCCATCACCCTTTCTCACTCTTCCCTGGCCCCGCCCATGCCTCACACCCACCTAACCTGGCTGAGAACCGTCTGGTGAAGTCACCCATCCCTGTGAGGCCCCTGAATTTCTCTTGTGTAGTGTTGGCCATAGGGGTTAGAGAATAGGAAGGAGGGTGAGGGAGGCACTGGAGAAAGGCCTTCTCCAGTATGGTCCTCAAACCTGCTCCACAACTGACATTTTAATTTTCCTGCCAGGAAAAAGATCTTCCAGTTGGAGTTACTCATTCTGATTCTTCCTTCAGTGACTCAGACCTTGACCGAAGGTAATGGCCATGAGGTAGACTCCTTGGGTTTTAGATAAGAGACTAAGCAATGGCCTGGAAGGCTGAGGGCCTAGGATTTCTCAGGCTAGCCAGTGTCTCCGTAAAGGCCTTTGCTGGTCCACCAGAAGTGGAGAGACATAGTTATTGGGGTCAAGTAACAAGTATGACATAACATGATTACAATATAAAAGGTACTCAACTTTAGAAAAGGAAATTTTTTTTTAAAATTTTTTTTTTCAACGTTTAATTATTTTTGGGACAGAGTGAGACAGAGCATGAACGGGGGAGGGGCAGAGAGAGAGGGAGACACAGAATCGGAAACAGGCTCCAGGCTCTGAGCCATCAGCCCAGAGCCCGACGCGGGGCTCGAACTCACGGACCACGAGATCGTGACCTGGCTGAAGTCGGACGCTTAACCGACTGCGCCACCCAGGCGCCCCTAGAAAAGGAAATTTTTACAGAATACTACATAGAATGAAAACTGAAAATACTGGGGGAAAAGAATATAGAGAAAAACTACACATTACTTAAGTATAGATTATTGAATGCCAGGATAAAAGCAGGTCTAAGAATCAAAACACCAGGTACTCCAATACCAGTGGAATAAAGTAACAGTATGGTTAATTAGCAAAGGGCAGAAAGGCTATCAAAGAAAGCTATCTAAATATCAAAGATCAAGTGGAGGGGTGCCTGCCTGGCCCAATCAGTGGAGCAAATGACTCTTGATCTTGGGGTTGTGAGTTCAAGCCCCACGTTGGGCGTAGAGCTTACTTAAGAAAAAAGATTAAATGGAGGTAATAGTCAAGAAAGGATTCCAGCCCATTTCCAGGAGCCCCTCTGCCAAATGTGATACCTTGGCGTTCTGAATGAGAAGCCATGAAAAAAGTGGGGCAACCTGATGACTGAAAACACAGAAGTCTCGAAAATGGAAAAGAGAAATCCAGGGGCAAGAAAGTCGGCCTCAGTTATTACTGGGAAGATGGTAGGGCGCTCCTACATGGTGCTCTAAACTGGACAGGAATCACTGTACTACGTCACCCATGAGCAAAAGCACAGGCTATCCCAAGTCCAGAGGCAGATGAATCTCCACACTCAGATGGCACTCATTCAAGAGATTTTAGAAAACTGAGAAGTCAAGGCTGTTCCCACATTGCTAGGATGAGAAGACAGATCTCACTGTAACAGCCTCCCTAAGCAGCAGACCCAAGGACCAGGGGTATCACATGTCCCAGTTATATCTCTGCCTGGCTTCTCATTCCACCCCTCAGGTTAGGATTCTACACCATTACAAATGCCACGGATTTTTAACATACGAAGGTGTTAAGAGAAAAGCAGTCTATCTGGATCTATTTTCATTTTTAAGTAGCCTACACCAAATTGAATCTCTGTCCCAATTTCAGTCCATGGAGAGAAAATTTGGACCAGGATAGGGGATTTTCAAAAATCTGTTAAATTGTACAAAACCTGGGACAAGATCAGAAATGGAGAAAATTTGATAATTGGTGATGGCACCTCCCAACTATCCTGGTGTTTTACCGTATCTATGGAAGTAGGTGGAAGCAGAGACCACCAAACAGGATTCTCTGTTTCAGTGGCGGAAAAGGCTCAGCAACACAATCTAGTTTAACAAAGATTAAGCATCTGTGATCCACCAGCATGATGCTTAATCCCTGGGGATATACAAAGACAGGCCTATGAACAAAGACATACAGCACCATGTGCCAAGAACAGTGGAGCGCATGGAAGAGAAAGGTCAGTGTCTAAGGGAGGGATTTGCCTTATCTAGAGAGTCTGGGAATGATAAATAGGAGTCTGCCAGTTACACAGAGTAAAGAAGAAAAGAGGCAGAAGAAGGGCATTTCAGGCAATGGGAACATGCCTGAAATACTATTTGAAAATATACACACGGCGAAGACTGCTGGGATAAGCAGGCCATCAAACTAGAAGTAATCAGGAGTGCAAACATAAAAGGCCCTGTCTGCCACTGAGGAGCTTGGATTCTAACTTTTGGACAGTAGGAATCACAGAAAGACCTGTGATCCAGAAAGTTCACCTTAGCAATAATGTGAAGACCAGGCTGAAACTCATGGCGAGACTAGCTAAGCAACCACAGCTGAAGGCCAAGTGCAGAGGATGCCACTCATTCCCAGGACGTGTTAAGAGTTCATAAGCAAAGACAACTATTTGCACTAGAGCCTGCCCTGGGGCATAGCAGTTGAAAACACCCAGTACTAGATAAGTCACTCTTCCCTCCCTCTTTTTCTCATTCAGCATCACTTTGCACTTCAGAATTTCCTGTCCAGCTTCACCTGCTTTCAACTACTCACAGAACCCAGTGTTCATGGTGCCACAGGTGAAGATAGAAATGGAGTCAGACTGTGACTTCACAGATGTGGACAGATATGGAAGAGAAACTGACGGCGAGACCACCCTCTAGGACGCAGCTTCCCCCAGATGTGGTTTAATCTTCACTGTGGAAGGACATGGTTTAATCTTCATTGTGAGGTCGGGGCCGAATCCCTGAACTTCCCTGTGCCGGTTTCCTTATTTGCCAAACCGAGGGGTCACTCCACTGGATAAAAAACTGACCTGTGGGTGAAAAGTACTACTTATGTGCAAAGCTATCTCCTTTTTGTAGTTATGAAAACAACAAAGGAAACATACTTTATTTTAAAATGCCGTCCAGGATAGAAATTATAACATGTCTTGAAATGAAAAAAATGCTTGCCTCCCCAAATTATAGCTAGGATAAAGGGGCAATAGTAAATTTTTATTAAAACAAATATCAATTAGATTTTTTTTTAAGTTTAGATTTTAAAGTATCTAGATGGTCTTGAAAGAACTATTAAAATGCTCACACTTCAGTACACCAACGTTGGAAAATTTGTTTTGCAACTTGGCATTGGGAAGAAATATTTCAAAGGTCCTATCTTTCCCTATCTCATTCAGTTTTCAAAGGGTCATTTGTCAAGTCTGAACCATCTGCATGCATTGCGGCCTTGTTCCAGCACAGAAGTGTGACTGGAGCTTTCCCAGATTGAAAAGCCAGTTGTGAAAGTCTGTTAATGAAAGAACCAACACATTAGAGTGGGTAAATGTTTCTAAAATAAAATTGTTCTTGTTAAAGTGAAACTTCAAACCACATGTTACAGCAACAAAATGACCCTTTAAATTAATAGCACTGGTTTTTCACATCCAGAATAAGATTTCTTTACACCTTCAGGGAGACTCTTCCTACAAGTTTTCAATGGCCTGATTCCCAAAGTCAAACTCCCATCCACATGACTGCTGCATGTTAGGCAGAGCTAATGTAAAATATTAAATTATAACTTTGCAGTATTAGATTACTACTTTAAAGGAATGATTAGAAGCCAAGTTGGATAGATTAATGACGCGTTAGTAAAGAAGCATGAAACTTACTATCAGTCTGTCTTCAATCCCCATTTGACAAACATCAACATTGTTTATTTAACACCTACTATGTGCCTGATAGCCGCAATGCATATGACATTTACTGTCTCCAAAACAACTATGGATTTGAATTTCAAGTAAATCTCTTTGGTTAGTCGCCACATTTACTCAAGATTACAAATGCAGGTGCTTTTTTCTTTATTCTTTTCTATTTTTTAAAGACAAATGACACTAGATCATTAACATTTGGGTACTAGGACAGCTAATTGCCTCTGCGATCTTCAGAGCCTTGTACAGTGCCTGGTCCATGGAAAAACTCTCAGTGTTTATTAAATCTCAGAGCTCCTTTCCAAGGGATACTGCCAAGAGGTAAAGCTCTAAGCCTCTCCCACTTGATCACAGCAGAATGACTAAGCTGCTCACTAATCCAGAACCATCCCCTGAATTTAAGTGCAAATTCTGTATCTTCATCTGCACCAATCCTGGAAGAGCTACAATCTACCCTTAACATCTATTTTAAAACTTGGCTGATTTCCAATGGCACTTTGTCCAAATTAAACTGTAGAAATGTTATGGATTCCGGAGTAAATGTGCTTGATTAATCAAACAAGTTGGAAAACTATGATGTTAGTTTTTTGTTGTTGTAAATTGATCACTGTAATTTCCACCTTCTATGTCATTTATATTTTGTACACACATGAACATTGTAATTTTGATAGCTTTTAACAGGTTGACATATTGTTACTTCTCCTTGCAGTAGGTCAGAACTATTTTCCCATTTGTAACTATAATTCAATAAAACTTAATCCTGTCTGCTCATCTTGCAAACTATCATCTTCTTACATCTCCAGAAAACTATCAAAAGAATAAAGGCAGGGGCGCTTGGGTGGCTCAGTCGGCTGAGTGTCCGACTTCAGCAGCTCAGGTCATGATCTTGCAGTTTGTGACTTCAAGCCCTGCATCAGGCTCTGCTGTCAGCACAGAGCCCACTTCAGATCCTTTGTCCCCCCGACTCTCTCTCTCAGAAATGAATAAACATTTAAAAAAGAAGAAGGCAGTTGGCAGAAGAACAAGGAGAGAATAAGTCAACTCAAGTAAGTAAGTAAGTAAGTAACTTAAGTAAGTTGACTTACTCCCTCCTTGTTCTTTCTCTTTCTATCTCAAGCTGCCTGGAACAGGAGCTATATCATCTGCCTGCTTGGAAGCCAAAATACCCAGTCCTGGTAGAGAAGAGGATACACAGGCACCTGTCCCAGACTCAAAATGCGTACAGCAAACACCTTCCAATCTGTCAAATCAAACACACACATTGAAAAAAATTATACAGAGGAAGGGGGCAGAGTGAAGGGGGGCAATGGCAAGCATATCAAAAAGGGCTGTGTAAATCCAACAATGTGTACATTGAGCTGCATGGTTTAGACAGCACCTAGAATAGGCCTAACCACTGACATGAATCTTACAGATTAAGCTCCTGGCTTGGCACAATCTGTTGGGATGTAAGACTAAAAGGACTAGACTTGTTTCTCTACCGTGCTTTGTATCAATTTAAGGCACAGGATGAGGTGTCACTGAATACAAGAATATCTATGTCAGTTACATCCAGTGAAAAAGATTAACTGTGATTAGGACACAACTAAAACTGTAGCAGGAAGATACGGTATTTTGGAAACTCATTCCACCCCAGTCAGAAGTGTTTTATTAAAAAAAAAAAAAGGGGGGGAAACACACACACACACACACACACACACACACACACAGAAAACCCTTTTAATCAGAAAGTCTGATTAAATTCAATATTAAGTTCTCAAAAACCCATCGGGGAAAGTCAACAGGTTACATCAAAGCAGGCAGCTGCTGACAAGTCTTTGGTGGAAAAGTAAGTTGCATACTTCTATAAGCTGCCCTAATGATTATCAAGCCCAAGTTTTGTTTTTCAAAAATAGTTTCAAGATATACCAAGGAAACATACAGACACCCTCAACAGTACAAAGATGTAACAATGAAGTTTAAGGATATAGGAAAAGCCAAATATGACAATACACACAAATCTATAAAATAAGCCTTTCAATCCTAGAAAAAAATGGGAAACCTCATGAATGTAATGCACATAAAACGAGGACTAACAACACATGGAACCACCCTAAACATTTTCCCAACACTAAGCCATGAAATGACAGCTTAGGACACCATTAACATGTAGTTTTTACATACATTATGTATGTAAATTAGAGTAATTTTTTTCTACTCAATTACCATTTCTTCCTTTTTACCTTTTCCCTAATTTTCTCTAGCAACACTTTTCCTTTGGTTTAACCAGTTGAACTCAAAAGGTTTGGAACCTAAAGTGAGTATCAACTCTTATTGGAATAGCACTTGGGAAATGCAATCCTAGAAAAGGCAAATTTTAACTGAAGTGGCTTGACAAAGTTAAGCATCCATTCTCACTGTGACAATGTCCTCCATGTTAATCACTAGGTTGATGGCTTCTCTTGGCTGGATCACACGACCCAGCATGATACTGGCGTGCTCCATGGTGAGGTACTGCAGAGTTCTGTGCACAAACTCCCAACCATTTAAGCTTTCAATAAATACAAAGCATCATTTTAAACCATTTCGGTAAAATAAATAAAAAATATTGCATTTCTATTGGCCTGTTTTGCCTCTTGAACTGGCTTGGACTGTTGTTTGTGACAGAAGACACAACAGTTAATTAGTAGCAACTCCACGCTCCTTAGGCTTCAATACTTCTCGCTCTTCAAGCCTCAGCACCTTTTTTGCAGCAATAATGGTATTCTTCATTAGCATCGCCACTGTCATGGGACCAACACCCCCAGGGACTGGAGTGATGTAACTGGCTTTCTTTCTGACGCCTATATAGAAACAGGATAGGCAGACTGCCTTAATTATAGCAAAGGAAATGTATGCATTTTAACATACCATGGAAGAAGCATTTAAAGAAAAAGCAAGAATATATGTAAGCACCTTCATAAACCTCAAACTCATTAAAAAAAAAAATCACATCTATATGACTCAGGGGTAAAGCTTTTTGAACATACTAATAAAATAACATTCACATAATAAGGAGTTGTTCAATGAATATTTATACATTTAACCTATAATTTACTAGTCATACTTTTCCTCCATATTAAATCAATTTCAAAAGAAATACCTGGATGGGTTAACTGTATGTGAAGTATAACTATAATAATTATTTTTATGTTATTAATATTAATATATTAACAATAGCTACCTAGAACAGTTTAATTTTATTCTATTCTATTTTTTTACTATTTATTTACTAGATTTCTTTAACTATATACTGTTTACCCAAAGCACCAAACAAAGTAATTTTCTGGAAAGTGAGAAGATTTTTTTTTAACGCAATCTTAAAGCAAAAATACTTAAGCACTTAGCCTTGTGTCTGATTGCTTATTAGAAATGGAATGCTAGAAACAGACTTATCAGCATAAAATTGAGATAAACATGATACCTTAAAAACTGAAAGGAGAAATCTACTAGTATACTTCAAAAGTCAGGAACGTGACTTTTTCCTGGACCATTTTTAACAGGTTCAGGTTTGTGATCTCCCCTTTCAATGTGAAAATGATAAATCTGTAACACCTTCTAGGAGACTGAATGGTGTCAGAAAGTCACTTCATTAAATTTTCAGACTTGTTAAGTCATGAAGTCGTTTCAACTATGAAGTAACCCTAAAGAAAGAATGAACACCTTCCTGAAAAGCTTATAGCTGGTCCCCATAATCTTATGATATAAACATCCTAAAATGATTCTAGAATGACTACCATTTCTTAAAAGATTTCTCTTTAATTCATGTGGGATACATTTTAAATTACCAGAGTAACCTAAGTGGTTTTTTTTGTTGTTGTTGTTTTTAAAGTACTCTCTACCCCTATCATGGGACTCAAACTCAACGACCCCAAGATCAAGACTCGCATGCTCTACTAACTGAGCCAGCCAGGCGCCCCCAGAGTAACGTAAGTTTAAAAGTTAAAGAAAGGGGCGCCTGGGTGGCACAGTCGGTTAAGCGTCCGACTTCAGCCAGGTCACGATCTCGCGGTGCGTGAGTTCGAGCCCCGCGTCAGGCGCTGGGCTGATGGCTCAGAGCCTGGAGCCTGTTTCCGATTCTGTGTCTCCCTCTCTCTCTGCCCCTCCCCCGTTCATGCTCTGTCTCTCTCTGTCCCGAAAATAAATAAACGTTGAAAAAAAAAAATTTTTTTTTAAATAAAAAAAAAAAAATAAAAGTTAAAGAAAAAGTAAATGATCTGTCCTAAATGTCCATTAAAGGTAGTATTTACTGACTTTATATTTTAAGAAAATTATACCATATACCTTCAAAATCCACATCTCCAACCAACTTGGGTTTAGCAGTGATGGGATCTTGAATTCTATTTATTCCCACATCGATGACTGCTGCTCCCTCCTTGATCATATCTGCTGTGATCAGATTTGGAATGCCTGCAGAGACAGGAATGACAGGAATGGTCACTAGTACCGAAAGAAAGAGTCCACCGGTCACAATCTTATCTGATTTCAATTTTAAGGGACATGGAAGAACTAAAAAGCTTATTTCGTGAAAACCTGTGAAAACTGTTAACCAAGGAATGACTGAAACTTCACACAGTAAACAGAAATATTTGGGCCCATTTGAAGTAACATTACCCACCAAGTCTATAGTGAAAAGCCAAAAACCAACACCGAGCGTACAGTTCCCACCTCATCTTTGTGGGCAGCTCACAGGGTCATCCCTAAAGGAATGGGAATGGGGTAGCAGAGAGGCAGGCAAAGTCCAAGATTCTACGGGCTGTCCTTCCATCCCCTCCCCGGTGTTCGTACCTGCAGCAGAGACCACAATGTCTGCGAGAACTGTATGTTTCTTCAGTTGCTCTTTGGGAGTGTATCGATGAGATATTGTAACAGTGGCATCGCCTAGGAGTTAAAATATAGATGTCCTGATTTCTGAATCAAAGCTGAGATTGGATTAGGTCTTAATTAACCAACCCATTTTAGAAATTCACCATCTCTGAAAAAAATAATTGACTTAATTCATGTACCATATTTTCTGGCCAGCTCAGTAATCATTTACTTTTCAGAAATTAATACCCAGTTTCTTATAACTTTCATCCCCTCATCCTATCTCTATCCTTTTGAATCATATATAATTAAATTTATTCCTTATCCTATTTAGCAGCCTTTCAAGAATTTTACTTTTCCTAAGCACAATGTCACTAGAATTACTCAAGGTTTAAAAAAATAAGTGTGCTGAAACATATTTGGAAGTACATAGTTTTGCCATTATTTCTGATGTAATCATGTAAGATCATATGATAATCACGTGTGATAACTGATTTATGAGGCTTTTCAGACAAATTCACAGAACTTGACATAATGACACACTACAGCCTTTTCAAGTCAATCCTTTGCAATGGTCTAAGATTTTTTTCTATCAAATGACATAGAATGGGATACTAACTTTGAACTGTTTCTTAGCCCCAACTATCCAAGCCATAAAGGAAAATGTGTAACTGCCGTCAACCATGCTTACACTCAAAACTCAAATTTAATTCTGAGGCATATCCATTTCTGTAGTAGGTCCCTAATAAAGGCATTTAAAAGTCTCAGGTGACATGAGTTCAGCTTGTCCTACCAAGATCACTCCCCAAATATGCCAAATATCTGCTAACAAAATCACAATAAATACACATGCAAAGTTTAACAAACATAGGACAGCCTCTGAAGGTTTGCACAAAAGGGAGGAAGGAATACTCCTCAGAACTCCACTGCCTTACCTCCAGGGCGCTCGTGAGCCC